CCACTTTATGATCTGTAACTTTGTTCATAGATAAGATACAGTATTCCAAATAATACCGTTTTGTAGTACTCGTGGAGCTCTATCATATCTGATTTAGTTGGTTCGAAAATATAGATTCTGAAAGAAACTATGGCAGGGCCCGCGAAGGTCCGGCAAAGGCCCGGGATTACAAGTATGATTAAAACCTTATTGTGCTCTTTAAATAGCCTTGCAGTTCATTTAAAAGAAAATAAATGGGAATCCTCTATGTAGTCTGTAGTCTTGTAAGAAGAGTCTGAAGGTAGGATGCAATCTTTTTGTTAACGCTTTGAATCAGAAAGAATTTTATAGATTTTTCCTGGAAAAATACCCCAAATGAATTTCTGTCTGAGGAGTTCAGATTATTCCAGGAGCACAAAGTCTAACAGCATCCTTTAGAAAATTTCACAACTTGAACAGTAACAAAAAAAACTTCTAAGAAATCACTTTTAATGAAAATCGAAAATTGCATAACCAAAAAGGCTATTAATCACTATCACATTCAATCTTAACTACTATTATTTCTTTCTTCCAGGGTTGCAATCTGACGGGCTGGCCGGCGGGCCGGCCCGGCCCGGCCGGTAAAGCCCGGCCCGAGGGAAAAAAACCAGGGCCCGGCCCGGCCCGGCCGGCCGGCAATTAATTAATATTTGAACGCGCGCCATTTTTATTTGCAACGATGCTCCGATATGACGAGGCGCGCATTGTTTAGCAGCCCGTGTCGATTTACGGGGGATAAAACAAGAACAAGATTACTGTACAAGCGTGTGGAGATGGTCGTTCTGGGTTCGCAAATAGCCACGAAATTTCCACACTGGCTCGACTGATTCTCTCACTAATTGTAGTGATTTTTCTAGTTAATTTTATGTTATCTTTTTTGTTGGATTGGTTGATATGAGCTTTAATTTTCTCCCCCGGTTTCCATTTCTTTGTTTCCCCTTGTTCATTTATACGGTTTTTACATTGTTATGCTACTTGTTAAGAAATAAATTCAAATAATTCTTCAATAATTTCTGTTTTTTCTTAAATTCGAACGGGCCGAACCGGCTGAACCGGCCGGGCCGGGCTGGCCGGGCTGGCCGGGGCTTCCGGCCGGGCCGGGCCGGGCCGGGCCGGGCCGAAGAAAAAATAATCTCGGCCCGGCCCGGCCCAGCCGGTTGCAACCCTGCTTTCTTCACATTCACCATCTCCTTCTCCTTTTCCTGCTCCTCCTTCTTCTTCTCCCCATACTTCCTCACTTTGACTCTCTCTTGATTAAACCAGCTACGTATCTGAGCCGGAGTCAATCCAACAATTGGCGCCAACTTTTCAATTTCCTCTCTATCGATTTTGTTGTCTTTAGCAAAATGTTTCTTCAAAATTCTTACTTGATCTTTGTTGAAACGCCTTCCATTTGCACTCCTCTGGGAATATTGTTGATGTAGTGGGTTCCTGTGAGATGCAGTATGAATCGGAGAAATCGGGAAAGGTTGGAAGGGGTGAGGTCCAAAGATTTGGGCACTTTGCATTGCAGCCATCTGTTGATGCCATTGGAAATAAGCTTGCGCTTGAGCGTGGAATGCATGTTGATAGCTGAAAGATATCATTTTAAAATTGATCATGCTAGGTAGATAAATTCCCTTTGGACTAAATAAGTTAGATGTTATAATACTCACCGTCTCATCTGCTCGAATCCAATCTGTGGGTGATAATGATGGTGGTGATGGTGGACCTGTGATCCTTGAACTGCAGACATAGTCACTGAACCTGGTAAGGAACGATAGGCGTGATGGGATCCTTGAAGCACCGACATACACACTGGACCTCGAAAGGCTGGCTGGAAGGGTCCATTTTGAGGAGCTAGGGACATATTCATTGGGATTGATGGGAAGTTGGACGGTCCAGTCAATTGACTTGGGAGAAAAGATCCGGAAGATGGGTAGGAATGCATCGTTGAGAATAAAGATTGATGACGAACGATGACTGAAAGGCACAACTACGCGGGGTAGGCGGAGCTACATTGATGTCAAGCCTTTCTCCATAGTGTGATATGCCATCTGCTTATCCCACCCAACCCATTCCATCGGCGGATTTCAAACGATTCATGAGAACTCTGAAATTTGACTAACAGGTGCTAGTCAGTGCTGAGAGCTTTATGACCTGTTACATGGATAGGATTCATTGTTTGGAGAAAAATATGCTCATGGCAATGATGAGAAGGTAGGGTGGGGAAAATGCAAAGGTGCCAGAGACCTGATGAGTGTTGATAGTTTTATAACCTGGTATGACCTGTTAGGATCCATTGTTTGGGGAGAAGATGCTCCTGGGGACGATGAGAAGGTAGGGTTGGGACTACAAAGTCAAAAAATGGCACATAGGTTCAGAGAATATGGGAGATCTTGAGTGCATTTCAGTCTAGTTGTAAGCCAATAACTTTGAACAAAAACTGAAATTGTCCGTGTTAAAATGATTATTTTTGTCGTCTTCCCATGTGTATCAAAAATCCTATGTACCCTTAAAACCAATGTACGCTGAGACTAGATGTACCCTCCTTGCACTCTTTTCTGATGTAGCCTCGCGTACTGTGTTATTCTAAGGCGGCCTACCCACGGTCTAAGAAACTTCAAGCTGCGATCGTCCGCTTTCGGGAGGGTTGTAAATGTTAGAAAAATGTATGGGGGCAAAAGTTTATTCAAAAATCTTCACAAAAGCAATTCAAAACTTCAAGAACCCTAACGAATTTCTGACATATATAATTCACTATCAACATCGATGACTTCTAACTTCAAGAAATTCATTAAATCGTTCCAGAATTTGGGGTCACTTGGCAATTTTTCATGAATGTCACCAGATGAGATTTTCAGACTTTTATCCTGGTAGAGAGGGATGATGAGGTCTCTGAAAATGCTTCATTTGTTCTCTACCACAATTTATTTAAATCTCACCCATTCTTATTCTCACGGTGCTGCTCCTCTTGAAGGATTTGATTGAGAACGTTCTCGACATCTTCAGTATGAACTCGTTCGATTGTAAGAGATGTTCCAACTTTCCGTTGAGTCGTCTTCCAATTGTCTGTGATGGTCTGGAACGTGATCCAAGGCAGACGAGATTGCACTGTGATACTTTTGTTTGGATGTTTCAACAGACTTCGGAAAAGTTCAGGTTGATTATTTTCCTTGTTGCTGATGAAAATGTTACGAGCACTTCGGAACACTGGATGCTCAAATGTAGTCCAGTCCTCACTGATATACCCGATTCCATAAAAGTTCAGTGGAAAACTGGAAACGTCCAGAATCTTCTTCAACAGATCAAATCCAAAACCTGTGACTCTAAAGTCTACTTCCTTAGAATGGTATTTCACAGATCCTGGGAGCCGCAAAAACGTAACGTTGATCTCCAGACGTTTCATTCGAATTGGTTCACTTCTTCCACGAAGAAGAAGATTATTGATATAACAACACCCATTGATAGAAGTCCAATTCGGCGAAAATTGCAGTTGTTGGCATTTGAAAGATATGGATTTTTCGAAAGCTTGGATTGATGGGCATCGTAAGGACAGTAAGATTCTGGAAATAAAAAAAGTTATTCAAAAGGCTATGCTAAACAAAAACCCTCTTAGCTACGTGGTAGGATTGATACGTACCTCAAATTAGGATCTGTGTGCTTTATAATGTGTCTGGTGCAGTCATAGGACAAGGGTTTGGAAAGAACCATTTGTAATTTGAAATAGCAGAACTAGAAAAGAAAGAAAGAAAAGGAACAAAAGAAGGAAATGAAATGGACGACGAAATGGAACAGAAAGAGAAGGTATAGGACCAGAGGCCGTATGCAAGAAAGTGGAAAAAAGACGGAAAACAGTTTTCCGGAAAACAAATTACCGGAGAATGACGATTTCGGTATGCAAGAAAATTTTCGTTTTCCGGAAAACCATTTTCCAAACGTTTTCTTTTCCGAAATCGTTTTCCGACCTCGGAGGTCGGAAAATGGAGAGGAAAACGATTTTCCGGAACAGAAAAAAGGGTTAATATCGGCGAATTTCTTGAAATCTCGTTTTTTTTTGAAGCAGATGTATGAAACAAAACATTTTTAGAAAAAAGTTAATTTTAGTGTCTTGAGAGCGAATTATTCGAAATTTTCAAAATGGCTTAGTTGGCTGCATCAGTCTGAAAAAATAATATACATTTCACAGGAAACATATTTAAATATGTGTTTACAGGGCAATGTAAAGTTTGATCAATTTTTCCTATAGTGAACTATAACTCATGAGTTATGTAACTTTTTGAGGAGTCATTTTCCAGCTCACGGTTCCATTGTATTTCCCTTTTCACTCTGAAACTATCGTCTGCCGAGTTGAATGATGAAATATCATTTCCTACTAGCTCCAAAAATCATAAATTAACCCCTATTTTACAATTTTCACTCAATTATGATGAAGACAAGGTCAGATTTAGATAGAAAAATAGCGGAATCTCCTGAAAACATTCCACTCAAAAGAAATTTCACCAATAATCATAATTGCCACTTTTATCAGTCTTCCGAACATTGTATTATGTATTGATAGGTTTAACTTGGTGAAAACTCGTAATTATCAATTTTCGGGCTAACAATATCACTGACGTATATCCCGACACCGGAAATACGCCAACATTTTCCGGCAAATACAGGCTGGAAAACGATCGTTTACCGGAAAATGTTTTCCATTTCGTTTTCCGCTTCTTGCATACGGAAAACGGCATTTTCCGGAAAACGCGTTTTCCAAGGAAAACATTTTCCAAAAAAAAACGGTTTTCTGAAAAATCCTTCTTGCATACGGCCTCAGGTACAACGGAAAACGTTTGAATTTGGTTTTAGCGGGAAACAAAGGGTTGATACCTATTGATTGGTCAGTATGGAGCGTCCCGTCAGAGACGTAGGGTTGAAACAAAGAGAACTCCTCTGGGAAGAAGGTGTCGACAGATGACGGGAAAAGAAGACGTTGGCGATGAGGAGAAGGATTATTTTTCTGTTTCGAGATTATGATTTCTGCATTTTTGTTTTTGAAAAAATGTTAATTGTATGTGTTCGAACATTCCAAAAATTGCGAATTTCTTAAAACCCTGAATATCCAACGAGAAACTAAAATTTTCTTACACACAAGAATTTATTCAAAAACTTCACAAACAGTACAAAATAGCAAAAATGATCCAGATTGACTTCGCTGACTCTCAAAGCTCGTTATTCACTATCATCATCGATGACTTCCAACTTCAAAAAGTTCATGTAATCGTCCCATAAATTAGGGTCCTTTGACAATTCTTCTTCATGGTTGTCTCCACAGGAGATTTGCAGTTCCTTATCCTGATAGAGATGATGAGGTCTCTGAAAATTCTTAATTTTTTCTCTACCACAAATTATTTGAAACTCACCCATTCTCATTTTCACGGTAACGCCGTTGTCCAAGGATTTGATTTAGAATTTCCTCCACTTGTCTGGTATGGATGTTTTCAAAGGTGAGAGTGGTTCCGACTTTTCGTTGTTTAATCTTCCAATCCTCTATGATCGTCTGAAAGGTTCTTTATGACAGACTAGATCGAACTGTGATGTTTTCGTGAGGAAGTTCCAAGAGACGTCGGAAAAGTTCCGGTTGATCAGACACGTAGCTTCTGATAAACGAGCACTTCGAAACAATGGATGCTCAAACGTACTCGAATCGTTTTCATTATACCAAATTAGACATAAATTTAGCGGGAAACTGGAACTGTCCATAATTTTATACAGCTGCTCAAACTTGAAAGAAGTAGTAAGTCTAGCGTCCACTTCTTTACACCAGAGTTTTACGAATTTTGGGAGTCTCAAAATAGCGACATTCACTTAAAGGCGTTTCACTCTAATTAGTTCGTTTCTTCCGCCAAAAAGAAAATTCATTAAATATACATGGGCTTCAAGACGAGTTGTTTTGATTTTGAACCTCTCAGCATGTATTCGGTTTCGATGTTCAACAGTAAGCTGGAGACAACGTGCGAACATTCCATTAAACACTCCAATTTCATAATTGACCCCATTAATCGAAGTCGAATCAGATGAAAATTTCAGCTTTTGGCATTTGAAAGGCAATGATTTTTCCATAGCTCTGAGCGATGGACAGCGCATTGACGGGAGAATTCTGGAAATCAAAGTTTAAAAAAGGCATTCTGAGCTAAGAAAGCTCTCGAGGAGTTCAACTTGCGGCTCCGCAGACGGAGTTTTGTGATCGCGTTGATACTTACCTTAAATTTGGATCAGCGTGCTTCAGGATGTGTCATAGACGTCATAGATAAATAAATAAGTATATAAAATAAACGACGAAATATTGGTACAGGTACAAAGGAGAACATTTGAATTTCGTTTTGACGGGAAATACGGGGTCGATAACTATTGATTGGGTAATATGGGGAAGAGAGAGGGTCCCGTCCAAGACTGAGCTTTTCAATTATGAGTACCCCTCAGGGCAGAAGGTGTTGACAGGTGACGGGAGAAGAAGACGTCGACGATGAGGAGGAGGATGTCCTAGATCGAATCATTTTCCATCAATCGCGCCTTCCTCTCTCAATAGGGCGCATTTTCATAAACCCCAATTTCAAACTTCCAGAAGCTTCCTTTTTTCACTATTTTAATGTTTCGAGATGATCATTTCACTTTTCGCAAGTCCAGGATATTGATCAGGATGTTGTTTCTGCTAGTTTTGCTGTGGTGTGCTGATCCTCGAACTGCCGACGTAGTCACTGGAAGGGGTTGGCGCTAATAGGCCTGCGTTGGATATTGCACTTGAGGAACGAGACACATCTTGGTTTGGTTTATAGGGATTTGGATATGATATCGATTAGTATTGGAGGCTCCCAGTGATAAAACACCGACGGCTGAATTTTCTAAAAATCCCAAAATTCCAACATAAACTAACATTTTTTCCACACAAGAATTCATTCAAAAAAATCTCACAACAATTTAAAAAAACAACAAAAAATATTCATAATGATTTCGTTCACCAGAGCTCACTATTCATTATCAACATCGATGACTTCCAACTTCAAGAAGTTCCTATAATTGTCCCACAATCTGGGGTTTCTTGGCAATTCTTCATGAGTGTCTCCAGATGAAATTCGCAGCTTCTTATCCTGATAGAGATGGACGATGAAGTCTCTGAAAATTTTCCCTTAATGATCTCTACCATAATTTATTCAAATCTTACTCATTCTTGTTTTCACGATGCTGCCACTCTTGAAGGATTTGATTGAGAACGTTCTCTACATCTTTCGTATGAACGCGTTTGATGATGAGAGTTGTTCCAACTTTTCGTTGAGTTCTTCTCCAATTTTCTGTGATCGTCTGGAAGGTTCTCCAAGACAGACGAGATTGAACTGTAATGTTTTCGTGGGGAAGTTCCAAGAGACGTCGGAAAAGTTCAGGCTGATTGTTCTCCTCGTTTCTGATAAAAACGCAACGAGCACTTCGGAACACTGGATGCTCAAACGTAGACCAATCATTGCTCATATACCCGACTCCACAGAGATTGAGTGGGAAACTAGAAGCCTTCATGATCTCCTTAAGCTTCTCAAAGCCATTAGCAGTTGTGAATCTGGCGTCCACTTCTTTAGAATGGAATTTCACAGCTTTTGGAAGTCTCAAAATATCGGCTCTCAACTGAAGATGTTTCACTCGAATTGGTTCACTTCTTCCACCGAAAAGCAGACTGTTGATGTGAATATATGCTTCAATAAGTGACTTGGTATATTCGACTCTTTCAATATACTCTTCATTTTGATATTTAACGGTAAACTGAAGAAAAGGTTGATGATCTCCAAAAATCGGATCATCAGCACGCTGTCCTTCTCGAAGAGGTTGAAGTTGAACGTCTCCAGGATACAAATCTCTCAGTTTCAACCAATCACGTCTTCCTACCATGTCGATGTCACAGTTTAGACCTCCACTTCTATTGAAATTTGCAATGTGTTCGGTAATCCGATTTTTGTTAGCCATATGAATATGAATTCCAACTTTGTAATCGACTTCATCAATTGTTGTTTCATTTTCCTTAAATTCCAGTTTTTGGCATTTGAATGGTACTGATTTATCGGCAGCTTGGAGCGATGGGCAGCGGAGGGACAAGAGGATTCTGAAAACAGTTTTAAAACGACAATTTATAAAATGTGAATCATCCAGGGATGTTTGGAACGGAATTCGGAATTCCGACCGAAATAATTCCGAGAAAAAATTCGGAATCGAAATTCCGATCGGAATTTTTCCGAAGCCTTTTTTTCGGAATTAGAGATTTTTGGACTACGGTATGTCGCGAAAAAATGATTGCGTGCAGAACTACTTCCAATTTTTGCGTTTTCACCTATTTCCGGCTTTTTATGATAAAGAATTGAAATGTTTACTTTAAAATTTCAATTTTGTAAAATTTCGAAAAATCCGAAATTCCGAAAGTTTCAAAATGGGAACATTTGGGAAACCCTCGACTGAGCTTCGCGACTTACCTCAAATTAGGTTCCATGTGCATTATGATGTGTCTGTTGCAATCATATGGCAAGGGTTTGGAGAGCACCATCTGAAATTTGAAATATCAGTATAAGAAAAGGAACATGGAAAAGGACAACAGTGAAAAAATGTAATGAAACAAAAGTTAAAGGCAAGATACAGAGAAGAAATTCCTTTTGGCGGTAAATAGAGGTACTATTCATATTAGTTGAGAGATAGAGGTCCCATTAGAGACTTAGAGTTTGAGGACAACTCCTGGGAAGAAGGTGTCGGCAGCTGGCGAGAGATGGCAATGACGATAAGAATAGTTTTTGTCTGCGTCTCTCATCGGGATCATTGTCTCTCTTTGCAATTGTTTTCGAATATCATTTTCGGCGCCAACTATTAATAGGGCGCGTTTGCACACCCCTCAGGTTTTATTGTTTGCTTTTTGAATACTTGTTTTTTCACAGTTTCGAAATGATCAGTTTATGGAACAGTGGTTGTTGTTTCCAGTAGGATTCAAAAAATTTTGTTTCTAAATAAAAGAGACAATATTTCCTGTTTTAAATTCTTGTCAAAATTCTTTAGGGATTATAAAACTCCAGTATTGCAAAGGTTTTTTATGGTTTTTCAAAAACCACAAATTTTCTGTGTCAACGACTAATAGCAAGTACATAATTGATATTCAGAACCAATTCGATATCTTTTTCACCTCCCTGCATTTTAAAACATGCCGAAGTACAGAAATATCAGTTTTTATAAAATACCAATCATACATTTTAAATATAAACTGTTTCAATACAGACTGTACCGATACCGAACTCAACTAACGAATGTCTTCAAAAATACCAGTGCATTACAACTGTCAGAAACAGAAAATTCAAAAAATCTAGTTTCGAAAAAAAACCAGTCTGAAACTTTTGTGTGAAAATTCTAGCTATAAGAAGAAAACTATATTTATTCTGTTTCAAAGTCTTGTGAAGTTCCTAAATTCTATTTCCAAATTGCTCATACTGGTGTCTACATACATAAATATGATCTAGAGATAATTTAAAGAAATTTGCAACCGTGAAAATCTTCCAGTAACAATTCGATTTAGACGTTTTGTAGTTTTCCTAGCACCGATAAGATTATTCACCAGAGCTGACTTATCATTGGAAGATTTCAGTCTTCACTTAGGTTTCCTAAAATTAGTTTTCTGAATGAAAAAGATAAATTTGCCAAATTCAAGTTATTGTCAAAATTCTTCGAGGGATTATAACGCTCCAGTATTGCAGATAAGAATTTTTTAGGGCATTTAAACTACTATTTTGCGCGCAATTCTCAAAGTTTTTAACTTCACAAACTTTATGATTCAACGACTAAGTACGTACATATTTGAAATTCAGAACCAATTCGTCATCTGATTCTCCTTCCCATATTGTTAACGAATAATTACAAAAAATCTCCGTTCATTGCAACATTCAGAAACAGAAAATCTGTTAAATCTAGTATCGAAAAATAACCAGTTCGAAGCTTCCGTGTGGAATTCTTTTTGTGAAGAGGACCGTCTTGTGAAGATCTTCAATGTTAATTCAAAATAGCTAATAATGATAATCTATATTTAATTGAAAGAAGTTTGCAACCGTGAAAACTATCCAATAACTATTTGACATAAACATTTTGTTGTTTTTCTAGCACAAATCAGATCATTCATCAGTTTTCTTTTTGTCATCTATCAATAAGCTGCGTTTGCACACACCTCAAATTTTACCGTACCTTTTGCAAACTTCCAGTAGCTAACTTCCAGTAGCCTTTTGATTTCTGTTTCACTGCATCGAGATGATCATTTGGTTCCCAAATTGAAATAATTGTAGCTCGGTTCCAAATTCCAATGCCACTCGTTGAGTCATTTTTAGCTTTTCATTTTCAAATTCTTGTGTAACTTGAAGTTCTTCAAAAGTTCATTAACCTCCAGTTTTCCCAGTATTGCAACTATCAAAATTCATTTCAACTGGCCAACGTTGACTTGTTGATGAACTTCAGATTTGTTTTTTTCCAAAGATTTTTCTGATGGAAACGTCTTAAAGTAAATTGTTCATGGAGATGATTAAACTTTGAGCAGCTGTATGAAACATGGGATTACTAGCTCTTAGTGATTCAACAACAGTTTCCGGTACATTTTTATTAGCTTTATGTTCAGAGTACTTCTGTTATGTTTCAAGTTTGTTTTGTGTCAGGAAAAAGAACCAAACTTAAAGTAAATGAATATTTATTTTAAAAAAGAATCTCCACAACCATCCAGACGGGCTCCTCTAGTACTATTCGTCTTTGAATCCTGACTCTCTTTCCAATGCATCCTGATGTCAGTTTGGTACCTTCGCATTCACCTTCGATAATTTCCCCAAAATACTTTGCAGTAGCTTGAGCGAATCTTCGATTACCCCCAGCGGGTTGGAATTCATCTATGATGACGGAGAACCAGATTTTTCCCTCGTACTGTCTGACCCCTTTAAAGAAGTCCATATCAGGCTCGTAAGCAGCCAGCATCATTTCACCAAAATAAATTTCGGGTTCCATGCTTCTTTGAGTTTCATGAAAAAACGAATTTCAGAGGGCTGCAAGATCTTCTAACTTCCACCCAAATTATTTCGGCTGCTATCAGAGATATCGGAACTCTGCCAACTGTAAAATGTTGGTGATATTATTTACATTATTTTTGCAGTTAACAACAAAGATAAGGAGGGGTGGCTTGACCTACTTTCATGCCTTCTTACAGAACGTTTTTGTAACTACCATCATTTCGGAAATACATTTTCCGAGGAATTGCAAGAAGTGTAAATGAGGTTCGAATGTGAATCTTGTGGTATAATTCATACAGTTTCAGATGCTTTTGAATTACACGAAACAATTTTCACAATGATAATAATAAGCTCATAAAGTAATGTATTTGACAAACTAAAGAAACACTATTTATTGAATTTACTCAATAAATCACTATAAAACCTTTAAAACCAGTGAGCCACACTTTAACGGGTCGTCACCAATCGTGAGCGAACACCAGCGAAAACTAAAGAAAACGATGAGAATTTGCCGAGAGAGGAGACGCGTTTTGGCGCGCACACAGTTTCGCGCGCGGATACAGTAATCCACACCTCTTGCACGTGTGTTCGGGGGAGATTTCTCTCCTTTAGACTTGGAAAGAGGATTTTAAAAGAGAAAACACGGTAGAATACCGTACAATAATAATAAGTTGGAAATAATTTTTTAGATTGGTATTTGGTATTCGGAATTCTTTTGTAACAGTACGCATTGTTGCGTTTCATTTTTGTGTTTGCGCATTTTGTATATGGGAAACATAGCAAATTGAATCATTTTCCTATAAAAGTCTAAAAAGTCATGTAGTTATGGAAAAAGTTAAACTTATCTTTACTCAAAAAATTAATATTGATCCTAATGAAATTTTAAAGGGAAGGGAAAATAGTCATTCTTTTGAAATCTGTATGAAATAGTAAAAATTGAAAAAAAACTGGATACATGAAAAATGAGAACTCCGCATTCTGAATGTTGAATTACGTACATTAAATTTTGATACATTACTATATTTGGACTCTGATCGTTATTAGTCTTCAATCTGAATCAGTCGAAAAAATTAAATCAAAAAGTTTCCAATTTTTCACCCAATTCACTAATTTTTCCTGTCAAGTTTTTTGATCCATTCAATCTGTCAAATGAGCAGAAAACAGAGAGAAATCGAGATAAATTGGTTCCCCTCCTACTTATTCTTTTTTTTCATGTGGTTTTCATTTTGCATCTCATTGCCCTGGGATCTAAACATTTTCATTCTCTTCCCCTCTTTCTGATTTTCAATTTTCCCCCTAAATTCGTGGAAAAGGACAAAAGGATGGACTCTTCGAAAACGGCAATTTCAGAGAAGTGAGTTGACCTTATTCATGTACTTTGTGTTTTTGAGCTGGAAATTTGAATCTTCCTCTTTTTGGAAGTGATTTACTAATGGAATGTCTCAAAGGGAGTGGTCAGAAGACCATAAAAAGGGATCTTTAGAAAATTGGAGAACTTTTTGGCTCCTCTTTTTTTCTGTTTCAAGTTGAGGTTTTTGGTGTATTGGGACCTGTGACTTGGTTAGGGGTTTGACGTGTTGCAATATTTTTGAAGATTAAAATGTCCAAAGGAAACACACGTTTTGATAAAAACTATAAAAATTGGTTGAAAACCAAAAAAGTTGGGAAAATTTGAAATTTTAGGGTTTTTTCTCAAAATTTCGTACTTCATTTTTTGACCGATTTTCATGGTTTTAATTTTTAAAAAAATTTCTTTACGTTTTCTTTTTTTTCAGATAAAAACAAACATTTTGATAGTAAAACCATCAATATCGGTTGAAAACTAGAGAAGTTATAAAGATTGGAAAATTGTGGAATCAAAGATGTTTCTTTGATTTTTTCAACTTTTAATATTTGACTCATTTTTTTGGCCGATTTTTGTGATTCTGGATTTAAATTGCATCAAATTTTCTTATTTTTCAGATAATACACACTTCGATAGTAAAATCATCAGAATCGGTTGAAAATTCAAAGGTTAGGTACTTTGAAATTTTTCGGATCAAACATTTTTTTTGGATTTTTCTCTGAATTTCATATTTCAGTCTATCTCTCTATTTTTTAAACTTTATTCGGATTATGCCATGCCCACTGGTTATTTTTATCCTAGCCAACAAAAAAGATAACTGAAACCGAAATAAAAAGGTTCTCAAATTGAATTTCTCCAAAAAGTTCAATATCCAATATTTTTTTATTCAATTTTATCTCTTTTTTCTTTTTAAAAGAAGTATGAATTTCCAAGTCCCCATACTTTTTTACTAAATTGAAAAAAAACTTATGTACATAAATAAATTTTAAATTTTACGAGTCCATTTTTTTGGGAAATTGAACTTTTAGACTCATTCGCAAACTTTTATATTGCCTAACTTTCTCAGAAATTTTTAGGCCATGTATCTCCCTAAGATTCTAACAATAAGATTCTCATTTTTCCTTAGGTTCCCAATGCATTCATTTGACTTTGATTAATTCGTGGAAGAGCATTTTTTTGTTT